GTGAGTGAGTGAGTGTGTGAGTGTGTGTGTGTGAGTGTGTGAGTGAGTGAGTGAGTGAGTGTGTGTGTGTGAGTGTGTGTGTGTGTGTGTGTGTGTGAGTGTGTGTTCTGCTTTAATCTGAGTCAAATAACAACTCAATGACGGCAGCAAACACACATTCACCTCATGCATGACACCGGCGAAGAACCACACAAACACAAACGCATAATTTCACACGTCAAGCACACTCAAACAGAGACAAACACAAAGAGCATCTTCCCAGTGTTTATCATGTTTACATCAGTCAAGCCACACCGAGAACACACAACACACAGCCCGTCCAGGAAGAAACCCGCAAGCCTGTCTGTTCGAGTCGGGAGGAATGATTTCATCATCAGCATCTTGTTCTTGTGTTTCAGACTGAAAACCCGCCAGGAACGAGTCCAGAGCTACAAACAAATGCTCTGCAGCTTCTAAACCTCCACAGCTGGAGTGCAGCACACTGATCTGTGTCTATAAGAGGAGAAACAGCTTCGGGACACGAATATAACGATCTGAAGGCTCAGATGTCGGTGTTTCGCGCGTCTGGATGTGAAGCTACCGTTAACCGTTATTTGAGGCTCGCTGATCTGAGGCGCCATTCAAACACACAATATATGATTATTTACTATGTGATACGATCGAACTGCCTCATATATGTATCCGCGTTCATATCTAAATGACAAATCATTTGTATAAATGTCCACAAATTCTCACAATAGACCGTGAGAATTCGCCGTGTGATTTCAGTCAGAATATGAAACGCGCTCCAAAACTCACCGATTTTTATTTTGACACTCTGGAAAACCCGAAGACCTTCCTCCTCGACCGCCATGCTCGCAGCTCCAGCTCTTTCCCCGTTTTCCGTTCGTTATCCGCCGCTCTTTTCTCTCGGTATTCCAGCGCGGACGGTGACTCACCGGACTGACTGAGCACAGCTCCGCTTCTCGAGGGGGAGGGGCCTGGGAATGGCTTCTCGCGTGCTGATTGGATGACTCATGAAGTGGGCGGGGACTGTCACGATACAGCTCGTCTACAGCGAAAGCGTCGCGTCAAAATCGCGTCGCGTTACCCAAATTATCCATCCAGCATTAGTAACAGCACAATTGAATGCCATTATACACACTTCAGATTTCCCCCAAAAAACTATTGTTTTACATTTTGCAGTTATTTTTGAGCCACAGTCACTATTTATGTCGTGTAATCTGTGCAGAATTAGCCAACTTGCACAAGCAAAAACAAACAAGGCAAAAACACAGTTTTTTCATGCATATGTAAAATTTAATATTTTGGGCTTTTTTTATTATTTTTTATTTTTTATTCAGAATAGTGGAAAGAAAGCATCCAAAAGACACTGTAATGTGTTTCTCCTGTAGCACTTTATCTATTTGTGTCAATAGATTTCAATTACAATACATACGTTTAAAGTCCGTTTTCTCAAAATGAGTTTTCTGAGCCGTAAATCTCGGCTTCAGTAGCACTTGCACTCACCAAACTTTACATTTTTATTCCTATAGTCTATATCCTGAAGGTTTTTACAGAGGGATTTGTTCATATATAATTTATTTGATTATATGCAACATTTCTTTCCCCCAAAACATTGTGAAAACATATTGTTTTTTGTCTGTTCTAAGTGTTTTCTGAATTACGGAGCGGCAAAAATGAGATACCCAAAATTCTCTCTGTAAAAACATTTGACTCTATATATGTCAAGAAAATTAAACAAGAATTTTGAAACTGACTTCATCCAGTGTGCAGAGTTTTGTACTAGAAATAAATGCAAATTAGCACATATTTCATTAAATAATGCCTCATTTGCATATTTAAACCTAACATTTTAGAAAACTTGCAATTATCAATCAACTGGGTAAGTTAGGCGATAACTATTAGTTAATAACAATACTATTTTTTGCACTTCATAATGCACTTCTCTTCTTTTTAGATGCTCACTGCACTTGAACTCTATATAATGACAATGAAGTTCAATGTAAAAATGTCTGGTTTTGCATATTTCTGAGACTTTTGCACCACTTCGGAGTTCTGCCCTCATGTAAATAACACAAGTACGGTTTGGGACAAGAGTCGCCCTCGCTCAAGGCGTAACCAAATATTCAACATTGAGGGTGGGAGAACAGCCGAATGCATTATGAAAACTCATATTAATCGAATAAAGAGCATAGTTTCCGCCGTTATAGCATAGTTATTGTTGCTGTAAAATCATAATAAATGAACGTGGGATCTGCACAGTGACAAAATCACTGTTTTTTGAATAACACCACACCACGTTCCCACTTTAATATCAATATCTCTGGCGTTTTAGTGCATACTACAGTTAACATTGTCATTTTTGTGGGAAATGCATGTGCTAGATGTGATCCTCATCAGATTTTAGGGACAAGAGTCGCCCTCGCTCAAGGCGTAACCAAATATTCAACATTGAGGGTGGGAGAACAGCCGAATGCATTATGAAAACTCATATTAATCGAATAAAGAGCATAGTTTCCGCCGTTATAGCATAGTTATTGTTGCTGTAAAATCATAATAAATGAACGTGGGATCTGCACAGTGACAAAATCACTGTTTTTTGAATAACACCACACCACGTTCCCACTTTAATATCAATATCTCTGACGTTTTAGTGCATACTACAGTTAACATTGTCATTTTTGTGGGAAATGCATGTGCTAGATGTGATCCTCATCAGATTTTACAGCACATATGTGACTCTGCAGCACAGAAGCAGTGTTGAGTCGCTGGGGGATATTTGTAGCAATAGCCAACAATACATTGTATGGGTCACAATTATACATTTCTCTTTTATGCCAAAAATCATTAGGATATTAAGTAAAGATCATGTTCCATGAAGATATTTTGTATGTTTCCTACCGTAAATATATCAAAACTTAATGTTTGATTAGTAATATGCATTGCTAAGAACTTCATTTGAACAACTTTAAAGATGATTTTCTCAATATTTAGATTTTTTTGCACCCTCAGATTCCAGATTTTCAAATATTGTCCGATCCTAACAAACCATACATCAATGGAAAGATTATTCATTCAGCTTTCAGATGATGTATACATCTCAATTTTGAAAAATTGACCCTTAAGACTGTGCTCCAGGGTCACATATATCACAGGCTCGCTGAAAATAAGCTTAAACGCTGAAAAAACAACATGGGAGCTATAATAACGTGATGTGCAATCCACTGAAAGCTCATCTGGTGTGTTACCAGTCATTGAAATCTCATCTGGCTTGTGAAGAGCGGACGAGAGTGTAATTTAAACCTGTGAAACAGATCTCATGACACACGTCCATTTAGGCTACAAACTGCAGATTTGTTCGTGAGCCTCTTACTGAAGGATCATGAAGTTCAGGGTGATGATTTAATGACCCTGAAGCTGCTCTACAACTGCCGGGCCTCTATCATGTGGGCTTTGCTGGACTAACTGTTGGACTTAAGCTCACTGAACTGTAATTCTTCATCCTCCAGGACGGGTGGCAGTCTTTGTCAGCAGTGAAGAGGAAGATGCTGAGAACAGACTATTGTTTCCACACTGCTTCCATTAGCCACGGCTGCAGGTATTAGTGTCTGACCCTTTTAAAATACACCAGAGTTAATTGCATTGCTCCAAACCTGCGCGTCAACATGCAACAGTCACTGCGAGGCACATCGAGAAAACAGGTGACGTCTGCATGAATGCAACTGATAGACTTCTGAACATGAGCACGCTTTGACGCATATACAAAGCATGCTCAGACAAACAGTACTTTGTCACACACAAGCACCAGCCACATGCAAATTTCCCAGTGAAGGGAGTTCACAGACACACGCAGGGCAGTGTGTAATGGAGGCAATGTAACCGTCTATTTGATGTTTTTATTTTAGTCAAAACGCCCTGTGGTAAACCACCAGGGGTGTGTGTGTGTGTGTGTGTGTGTGTGTGTGTGTGTGTGTGTGTGTGTGTGTGTGTTCTGCTTTAAGAAAACAGAGGTTAATGCTTTGAATTATGCTCAGGGAACTGGTTATGTTATTAGATCAGTACTATGTTGTTTCTCTGTTGTATGGAAATATAAAGGAACATTTGCATTTATTAATTTAGCACACACTTCTATTTAAAGCACCTGTCACTGTCAAAAGCATCTTTGAATGTGAGTAGCAGGGATGATCATCAGGCTTTTGAGGAGTGTTTAATTCTTCATCTCTCAATCATCATTGCATTGCATTAGATGTTTTGATCATTTAAATATCATCAAGACATATTATTGAAGATACAGAGTGACGACTGATGTTTATATAATTTTATGTAACTGTTATAAAGATCTCATTGATTTACATTTAAGAATTTCATCTTACTTTTTGGCATAAGAATATCAGCAATCATATTTTTGCTCAGTTTGGGTCTTTTCCTCCATATTATCACGACATCAGAATACACGACCATAAAAGCATATCAACATAAAGCACATACACAAATGTTAGATTTTTTAGTATAGTGTATTATTTAATATTTTCACTAAACTGTTCCATTGAAATAGATTTTTCTGACTATTCTTTCATATGTCAGGCTTTATAGGGTTAAAATGCATTGATAATCTGCTCAGCACACATAAAAATGGTACTTTAATGGCTAAATCTTGAATTTCTTCTGTTGAATGAAGTGATTAGGGAAGATTTGCATTTATTAATTTAGCACATGAGCATGCACTCATCTGCTGTCTGATAGGCCACATTTACACTGTCAACCTGATTATTACACTGCTAATCTAATCGCATGCACATTTTTCACATCCAATTTGAGTCGCTTTCGAATGTGGTGATCTGACATCCGATCACCTGACCTACATTTGCTTCCCTTCTATTTTTACATCATTGACAAAAACATTAGTAAATATGCACACGTCAGATGTGTGCACGAGGCCTCGCAGTGTCATTTGTCTCTAATTGTGTGAAGGTGTGAGGGACTGATGTTCTTATTATACACTCACAAGTCAAAGGAACAATGGAGATGAGCTGGAAATGGCTGTTGAGATCAGCACACACACAGAAAATGACAGAGCTGGCATGTCTCGCAGCAGGTAAAGCTTCACTGCGAACATTGGATTCAGGACGAGAAAGCAGAGATAGTATGTCCACATGGAGATTAACATGATCTCTCTAGATAGAATGAGGAGTGTTTCGTGTCTACAACACATTCAAATGAAATGCAGGAAATGCAGCAGTAAAATCCATATTCATAAAGCCTCCGTTGTTCTGCTTTAATATGTCTCTATAATCGCTTCCGTCCCAGATTCTCATACTACAGTACAGAAAACACAAGAAGTCATTATGTGCTGGGTAGTTATTTTATTTACCTTTCTTTCATTGAGAGAGTCCTGTAATATGACTGCACTGTTGTGGTAATTGTGCTGATTTGATACTTTGTATTCATGTCTTTCCTGTAAAAAAAGGAGAAATCACAACTGAGATCTGTCATTTAACTCCACTGTTCTCCTAGACAGCATTGAGATTACACAGAGAGCAAACGGAGACGTCTGAGACAGAATTATCTGGCTTCTCAGATGTTTCTCCTGTAAAAAAAACTCTCATATCTCTCATTGTAATCTCTCATGTGTCTCCTTCAAGTGATCTCAGCAATGTCTGAAACGGTCTGTAGTCAAATGTCAGAGATCACATTATGAATATTTCTCATCAAATGCAATGGTGAGTGTGTGTGTGTGTACCTGGTATTTATCACGTTATGGGGACCAAATGTCCCCACAAGGATAGTAATACTAGTAAATTTTGACCTTGTGGGGACATTTTTGAGGTCCCCGTGAAGAAACAAGCTTATAAATGATACAGAATGAGTTTTTTTGAGAAAGTAAAAATGCAGAAAGTCTCCTGTGAGGGGTAGGTTTAGGGGTAGGGTTGGTGTAGGCCAATAGAATATACGGTCTGTACAGTATAAAAACCATTACGCCTATGGGATGTCCCCATAAAACATGGAAACACAACATGTGTGAGAGAGTGTGTGTGTGTGTGTGTGTGAGTTTATGTGTGTGTGAGAGTGTGAGTGAGTGAGTGTGTGTGTGAGTGTGTGTGTGTGTGTAAGTGTGAGTTATGTGCCCTAACTGTGCCCTTTAGGGTTTAAAATAATCTCAGGAGTTCAAAAACAATGTCTCCGAGTCATTCACAATATTTCTCAGAAAAGAGTCCATTCTGGAGTCACAGAACACATTTAAACTCGGTCATGCCGTAATCACCAGTCTTTTAGAGAAGTGTGCTTCTGAATGATTCAACTGACCTTAAAACACAAAGTGAATCTTCACTTACACAATCAAAGCAGAACAAGGGTTTCTGACTCTGGACAGACAAATGAAAGCAGTATGTTGGACACTCAGTGGGCATCAATAATAATCCCAGTGTGTCAATAAGGCCATCTAGTGGCTGAACTCATGCAGCCGCACAACTCACACATTGTATCAAATGAGAATTTAGGAAATTACACTCTTAAAAATAAAGGTGCTTCACAGTGATGCCATAGATGAACCTTTTTTTTTGTCTACATGGTTCCATAAAGAACCTTTGAAGAACATCTGAAGAACCTTTCAGTTTCACAAGAGCATCTTTGTGGTGAAAAAAGGTTCTTCAGATTATAAAAAGGTAAGAAAGAGATGGTTCTTTAAAGAACCTTTGACTGAATGCTTCTTTGTGGAACCAAAAATGTTTCTTCTATGGCATCGCTGTGAAGAAGCTTTATTTTTTAAGAGTGTGCAGTTACTGTTACTATTGCACATTACCAGAAACTAATCACTGCCAGATCACCATATTTACTGTGTCTATAGAGTCGAATATTCCTGATCTTCATTCATGTTATGTTGAATATCTCACTATTTTTCTGTCAATTATAGCAATTTTGGCAAAACTAAAAGAATATATTACCCCCCAGAATTAAAATTCTGTCTTGTTTGCTCACCCTCATGCCAAACTCGACTCATATGCTGTTAAAAACATTACCCAGCACCAAAAATGCCTTAAAAGCATTAGAAACAGCATTCCACACGACCTGTGCGCTATATTTCCAGTGTTCTGATGTCCTGCACTCAGTGGAGCACAGACGTTCATTTTGAGTATGCATTTTTCTTTCTTTTTTATGCATTTATACCCAAAACAGAGAACGTTCTCCAAACTTTTATTAACATTCTGGTAAGGTTCTCTCAAAGTTATGAACAAAACGTTCTTCCAGTCACATTAATACAATGTTTATTGTTTATTGTTAATTATAAATGATTTAGTTATCTGGTCTTTAATCATATTCTCAAAATGTTAGCACAGAAACATTATTTATATGTCTTTCATGGAACGTTTTTGAAATGTTACTCCGTCTTTCAGAGAACATTCAAAAGTAACATTCCTTTAATGTTTTCAAAATGATCGAATGGAATGTTCCTTTAAAGGGATAGTTCACCTAAAAATGTAAATTATATCATTAGTTACTCAGCCTCATGTCGTTCCAAACCTGTGAGACCTTCGTTCATCTTCAGAACACAAATTAAGATATTTATATTTTGATATTACAGTACGCTTTAAATAATTTTGTTACAAAATACATTCAATAATCATAAAAAATGTGTTTATATAGAAACTGTCAAAAAATAAATGTCATAATAAATGTTGACATTATTTACAGTATGCTTACATATAGTTAAAAAACACATAAATCATAAAATGTGTTCAAACTTTGTCAATAAAATACATTTTATAATATATTTTGATATTACAGTATAATTCTGTTACAAAATACATTAAATAATCTTTTTTTTTTTTTACTTATAAATGAGACTACTACAACCAGAAAGATAAAATCATTCAAGTAATGCTAGAGAAGAATATCTGTAATATCTGCAAAACAGTAGAGAACGGCTTTTATATAATAAAGTAATATAATATAATAAAGTTATTAAATACGTCATTATATGTGAAAGAATGCCAAAATCCTTCATCACTTGAATACTAAAATACTCATTTAATTTTAAAGCACGGCCGCCACTAAATCAGACTGACTTTGAGATCATTCTGAGGTTAAAAACTGATTTAAAAGCATAACAATAAACAGTTGAGTAGCTATGATATTGTTTTTGAAATCAAATCTTTGTATAGCTATGACAGAAAACACTGGCATCTGACAAAAAACTTATAATAATAAAAGTATATACATAAACCCAAATCGAATAAGCATGTGTCCTAAACTCCTGAAACACTGGTGTCTCATATTTTAGAGCAGTCCATGCAGTTTATGGAAGAAATCAATAAAATCTGCATGTATTAAATCAGATGTAACCCCCTTTGCAATCATTAACATTTTCATAAGTAACTATAATTTAATTACACATTTTTCTGAGTAACTGTAACTGATTACAATTACATTTATTTTGTAATTTATTTAGTTACATGTAACAAGTTACTTCCCAGCACTGTGTATGTTTGCGGTGACTGAGATTGAGTGGTACTGCGCCTTTAAGAGAGTCGCTCGGCTGTCGCGCACATTGTGTCGGTATACCGGTCCGCCGCTGTCGTGTTGTGCTTTTATTCTCGCTCTGTACGCTAATGTCTGCTCATTCTGCCGAAGAGCCGTTCCCGTTCCACGGGCTGCTTCCGAAAAAAGAGACCGGCGCTGCTTCGTTCCTCACAAAATTCCCGGAGTACGATGGCCGAGGGGTGCTCATCGCGATCCTCGACACCGGGGTGGACCCAGGTGCCCCGGGCATGCAGGTAAATCGAGCCCGCGGCTGCGGTTCATCACTAGGCCGCAGTCGGTTTTCTCCCGTTTAAGGGACCACAAATACTAGACGTTACCGGAATTCCACTGTCACAACTAAACCACGAAACACTAACACATGTAAAGTAAATAAAGCTGTTAAAAACATTTGAAAGGACAAGCTGTGTCATCCTCATCAACGACTCTCACTTACAAAGAAGTACACCACAGTTTATTTGTGTTTCTAAGCAACATTATATGAGAAAACACCATGATAAATTAATATAGTACTCATTTATCATATTAGACATCAAAGAACCATTATAAATGACAAAGGCTGTGTTTCAAATCCTAGCGAGCTCCCTACATAGACAACATTATAGTGCTGTCTATGTAGGGAGCACGCTAGGTCTCAAGGCACAACTAGTTAGGGCTGTTTCGTGTGCTATAGCTAGTGTTCACCTAAAACACATGATGGTTGTGTTGTGAAATTAATCTGTAAGCGGATCCCGCAGCTGTTTTGAGCTCTCGCTCATTTATGTGATGTCTCCTTTTTGTCTTTTTTGTCGTTTTACTTTTTTTTATTTATTTATGACCCTTTAAGAAATAGGTATACTGTAACAATAGAACACCAGAACAGGTATACGAGCACTCACCCTTCCATACATGCATGCACGTTCAGTTTACACTTAAATAAATAAAAACAGTGAAGGAGAATGTCTCTGTAATGCTCATATGGATCACGTGAGCTGATCTGTGCACTGATTGTGTATCATAATATACAGACTGTAGCTTTCAAACACATCCCGCTGTGAATCTGATATGATTTGTCTGACTCCAGACTGATGCTGAACTGTGTCTCATGCTCTTTCTCGTAGACTACGACGGACGGGAAACCTAAGATCGTGGACATCATTGACACGACGGGCAGCGGCGACGTGAACATGTCCAGTGCGGTGGAGGTGAAGGATGGGCCCGTGACCGGACTGAGCGGACGCACGCTCCGAGTAAGAGAAGAGATGCTGTCATTCTCAAGCTTTCAGATGCTCCGGTTACTACACTGTATCTGTGTGAACCGCACAATAACATGTTTGGGTCTCGCGTTTCACCCTAAAATCAAGACGGAGGAAATAAGAGGATTTAGAAAATGCAGCCTGCTTCATTATGATGTTTTCTTTTTACTTTTCAATGCAAATATACTCTAAACACACTTTCGGGGAACTGTAAATCCAAAGCAAACTTGTATAGGTTTTATAAAAATTCTCTTTCATAGTGTTTCTAACTTGCTGCTTGCCCTGAAAATAGCCAGAGAAGCTGGCACGGCGTTAAAACACAAACCAATCAGTGCCAGAACTATCTCATTCTCTCATTACTTTGCGTTGTACCGAATGTTTTACTTTTTAGGTTTAGGTTCTTCTTATTCCCAAAGGCGATTCTCATTTCCTTGTGCAATATTTTCTGCGGTGGAGCTGTATTTTAAATTATTTTAATTCATTTTAAATATATAATACAAAATGTATACAAAAATGTAAACAATGTAATTTTTGTCATTTGAAAATATTCCCTCATGCATTTTTTTTATTCTACATGCATATTTTTATATACGCGTATACGTTTTGTATCTATATTTACCTATATATATATATATATATATATATATATATATATATATATACACACACTCTCTCTCACACACACACACAGACAATTTTTAGCAAGAGAATTTTACAAGAGTTAATATATAATGTTTTTAGCAAAGGAATTTTATGTGTTTTATTAAACCTATATAAAATATATATTTTCTTAGTTTTATAAAATATTAAGAATATTAATATTTTTGGCAACAGAATTGTGCAAATGTGAATATATATGTATATGTCTAGTTCTTTCAATAAAAATGTTGCTTTTGAATTAAAATAATAGATTTATATTTATTTTATAAGTATATAGACATTTTTGAAAATCAAACGAACACCTATTTTTACATATAATGCTGTTTTTTTTTAACAGAAATGAACTAATCAAGCATGTATAGTTATCACCCAAAACTGATCATCTCAAAATGACCAAATATAAAACATACTTATCTCTCTTTTTAATAGCTTTAGATATATTATATATTGCATATAACTTTGCATAAAATACAAAAAAACCCCATTGTTTTTCATTTAAAACAATTTAACGATGACAGCAATGCACTGCATAACACCTTCTCCTGGAAAGCAGCTGGATAATGTTACTGACATATTTTCACTTTTAAACGATCGATGTTTAAAACATCACAGAAAACCTAATGTTTCAATTTGCATGGCATAAAAGCATGAATTATCAGTAGATGTAGTTGTAGTGATAACTGGCTTGAACAACAATGCACTGACTATATGGAACAGGAACAACATTTCCAGGAAACACATACAGACTGAGAGTGGGGCTGCGGTGTAATCGAGCGGAGACGTGTGAGCGTGTGTCAGCGCTGGGGTTTCCACCTGACCCATCACCTCAGGCTTTAACACACATCCAAACCCAGAGCCAGTAAAACGGGTCCAGCTGATCTCACATTTCCACTCCGTCTGAAGCCATGAATGAAAGATCATACCAGTGTGTGTGTGTGTGTGTGTGTGTGTGATAGGATACAGCTGCATCTATATAGCAGAGATCCGAGCCGCGCACACACACACACACACACACACA